GCCGGCCGCTGCCGCCAGCACCGCCGCGCCTCCAGGTCGCCCGCCGGTGAGGGCTGGGGGTAGGGAACGCGGGTGATGGGGGGGAGGAGGGGGGGCGGAGAGCGACACGGAGTCCGAGGCCGTAAGGCTCAGAGGTACAGGGATACAGATGCGACCGCCGGTGGCATCGAAGTCCAGGGGTCGCCCCCGGACCCGAACCCCAAAGCTTCGACGCCGCGTTTCCCGCTCCCCATTCGAGCCGAAAGCGGGAGTTCGGCTGGTCCCGGGGAGGAGGGACTCGCGGGCTTTTCGTGCCACCCGGGAAGACCAGGCACCGAGGCGAGGCCTCCCACCCTCACCGGGTCTGCACTGCGCTCCCCTGGAAGGCCCAGGGCTCGCCCGCCCGATAGCCCGAGCCTTAGTCTTCCGCGGAGCTCGGGCCTCCGCGCGAGGGTCGCGGGGGGGAGGCGCGGGTTCGGCCCCACCACGACTCCCAACTCGCGAAGGCGGTGGAGGCGAAGCGGAGCTCGTGCAGGGGAAAGGGCTGCATCCAGCTGCCGACTGAAGGGGGAGCGGGCAGCGAAACCGGGGTGGTAAAACCCCGCAGGCGCCCTAGTAGGAAACAGGGAAATCCCGGCAACCCAGAGAGGGGGAAGCCGATGGGGGTGGGGTGGGAGGCGACCCAGAGACTCCCCAAAAGAGGAGAGGGCAAAGACACCCCCCGCCCCGCCCGGGCCGGGAGCCGGGAGCGCGCCCGCGAGACGGGGTGCGGGATGGGAAGCGCAGGGCGAGCCGGGCAGGTGACCCGAGCCCCAGGCCCTGCAGGGCTCCCCAGAGAAATGGCTTTGAACCACGAGCTCCAGCCATCACCCAGGGCGGTGAAAACGGCCGGGGGTCCTAGGCGAGAGGAGCCCTCGGGGTTGGCTGGGGCGCTCCGATCAAGAACGAGAATCCCCCAGGAGGTCCCGGGAGCCCCGAGGAGGGTGTGGGGCTCAGCCGGCCCCTCGTGGCGGACGCGCAGGCACGCCGGATTCCGAGGCGCTCGCCCACCTCGGGCCCCGAGCCGGCCAGGCCACTTACATCCAGCCCAGGGTGCCCATCCGTGCTCTGCAGCGCGGTCCTCCCGGCCCCTCCCCGCCCACGGAGCGCCACGGCCCTGGGTCCCGGGTGCCAGGGCTCAGCAGGCGCCGCGGCAGAGGGGCCCGCCCGGATCTCAGCCTCCGCCGAGCCGAGGCGAGCAGGGCGGAGAGGCCTCACCTCCCAGCTCTCTCCTCAGGCTCGGCCGCCGCTCTGGCCCCGGCGCGCTCCGGCTCCGGACTTTTCATTCATCCTTTCACGCTCCCTCCGCAGGCCAGCCTCTGATTGGCTCCGCCGAGCCTGACGTCAACACCTCGTTGCCCCGCCGGCCCCGCCCCTCCCCCCTTCCCAGGTTGAGCCGGAGCGCGCAATTGGGGCGCCCCTCCCCCGGAGAATGGGGAGGCGGGGAGGAACTACTACATCTGTGTGCCGATTCCCAACCTCTTGCAGCCTCACCCACTCCAGACACCCACCTGCCGTCTCCAGTCCATTGCCATTTGCGGCTTTGGTCCCTAACCTCACTCTTTTTTGTAGGTCCTACACTTTCCATTTCGACCCGAGGCGTGCTATGCTGCCCGAGGACCAGGGCTCAAAACACGGAAAAGGCAGCCAGATGTCTGGAGACTCGAGCCCCCACGGCCTCCTCTCAGGAGGGTATTCTTTGCGCTTCTAGGATTCTGATCCCTCCCAAAGGCTGTGATCCTAATCTTTCAGGGCGGGCACGAACCTTTCTTATTGGTTTTCAACCCAAAACAGTGAGGGAAAGGTTTTGGAAGTTTGGGACTCCTACTGAGAGACGGGGTTGTGGGGGTGGGGGTGTCTGGGCGAGGCTAAGCCTCCTTTTTCGTCCTGCAGATGGGCGGCTGGCGGATCCCAGCTGGCATTAGCCCGGGCAACACCCGCAGATTTTGACTCAGCCTTGACCCTTCCTTCTCCCACCCTGTGCGCCTCCATCCGTGAGCCCTGCGCCCTCACCCTGTTCCAGCTCCGGGTGTCTGGAGAGCTGGGGTAATCCGGAGAAGGATCACTCTCCAGCAAGGTTTCAGGTCCCGGGCTTCCCCGACCTGGCTCCGCCTCTGGCTGGGAGGATGAGGGCCGAATCATGCCGCGTCCCAACCCCACGGCCGCCCACAGGCAGGATCCGGGTCGCCGAGGCCTGGCGGAGCCGCTGCGCCCGCCTCGGAGCAGTCTGAATGCCCGGTCCCGAACTAACCTGTCTCCCCGGCCCCTGCTCTTGGCTCCTTTTCTAAAAAATCCTACCACTGAGAAACCTAGAGCCCGTCTGTCTGCTTAATACGGGCTGCTCCTATCACCAGGGATCTTTGAACGTTATGGGGAAGGGGGGGTGCACTCCAGGGTCCCGTCGGTTTGGCCATCAGGCCTGGCCAGACTGTTTCATCCGCCCCAGGGTCCCGCCTCTGCGCAGTCGAGGACAAAGCGGAGCCTGAATGCTATGCGCCGTGGTCAGAGGCATGGTGAAGGCCTGTGGGTTTCACTTGGTGCTCCCCTCAAAGACTTGAGGGTTCTGAACAATCACGGTGTGATTGTGAGGTGGGGGACGCTCCGGAATAGGATGAAGCCAGGGGTCCTGTGTCCCTTCCAGAACAGCAGTAAGGAGCTGAAGCCCCCCCTGCCTGATTGCCCCAGTCTAGGACACTCTCAGGGCCGGGCTGGGCTGGGCATAGCTTCTTCCCTGTCAGCCTCCACAGAATCTCAGGGCCCTTAAGGAAAGGCTTTCTAGAAGCTTCCACAGTGTCAATTATTCCCCTTCCCAGAACTGGGGGCACACCAGCCAGTGTTGGGGAGGGAAGGAAAGAGACTGTTTCCTCCTGCCCTCTCCCGGGTGCCCCTGAGCTCAGAATGGAGCACTCAGGGAGCACTACGCTCCCTGTCAATCCTGTCCAGTTGCAGAGAAGTAGAGTCTTCCCCAAACACTCTCACAGGTAGATCTACCCTACTGGGGTGCTGCTAAATGCATTCCCTGAGCATATCCCCCATACCCGCCCCAGAGGAACTATTGGCCCCCTCTGCCTTTCCCCTTTGTGCCTACAAACCTCCTCAAATATTTCTCAGAACACCACCTCACACCCTTTTCTGGGACACCCAATGTGCTCCAGACATTCCAGCAATCCTAAGGAGGGCCCACACTCCTCCAGACACCCCACCAACTTCCCCCTACAAAGATTCCCCCATTCGCCCACCCACAAGATCCCTTCAAAGCACCTTAAGCCTTTCTCCGCCTTCTCCCACCCCTTACCCAGTGCCTGGAAGGCTGGGGCCAGCTTGTGGGAAAGAGCTGCTGTTCCGCTGGCTAACATGGCCCCTTTCTTCTCGGTCACCCATTTCCAACCAAGTCTCCTGCCCTCGGTGGAGCCCAAGCTGATCTCCACAACCCCTTACACTGGCCTGGGCCATGCACACAGCGTAGCAAGAGGCAGCTGAGGTCAGCATGAACCTCCCTTGTCTGTCAGCCACTGCTGTATTTTTGCGGGGGAGGTGGGAGGACGGAAAGGTTTCCTTGCCCAGCACCGACCCACCCCACCCCCACCCCTATTGGCCAAATTCAGACTCAAATGGACTTCCTCAAAACCAAGGTCACGAGAGACGGGTACATATCTAAATTTCCTAGCTAGCTCAGTAAGGAGCTAGATGCTTGCCTCTTACTGTGGCTTTGGGCTGTACAGAGGTGCCTCAGCCGAAACAGTGTCCACACTGAAGAAGGCCCCCCCCCAAAAGAAAATGGAGACTAGCCTAAGTAGCCCTGGTGCTATGTGCATAGACACCCGCTCTCTGTCCAGGTCCCTTCTCGTGTGGCTTTGTCCGGTGGACTTGACAACCATTCTTCCAGCACTCCTGCTCAGGGATGAAGGTGAGCGGGCATGTGTGTGTATTCCCATGGAGATGGAGCAGTAAGAGATGTGCCCACCATCACCTTCATGGGGTCGGTGTGCACAGCTGAGCCACATCACTCCAGTTTCAAAAAACAAACTACGTCAGGGAGCAAATGGGACAGCCCCGCAGGGCACAGGCAATTTCACACACGTTCGAGTCCATGGTAGGGATTTCCACATGCCTAAAACACGGGGTGCTCGGCGTTCGCCGCATAAATAAAGGTGTGCGCACCTGTGTGCCTCTCGAGTCTGAGCTGCCATCACAGAGACGGCGCCTGGTGGGTGGAGAGGGGCGCGCTGACAAAAGGTGGGATTTGTGCTGGGTGCGTGTGAGGGGAGCGGGAGCTGGTCTGTTGTGTGCAGTGTGTCAGTGACTGCCGGGCCACCCCTCTGCCCCAGGGGACTCCCTAGGCTCCCTAGGATCGGATACAGCGGGCCTATCGGAGGAGAACAGCTGCAGCAAATGGCTGCGTTGGGTCCCCTGTGCTTGGCACCCCAGCCTCATCTGGCAAGGCCTCCGTTGGAGCAGAGCCCTCTGCTTCCAGCACAGCACAGCCCCCTGCAGAGCCTCAGGCTGCAGACCCCACCCCAAGTCCTCCCAGGGAGATTCTGGGGGGACTGTGGGGAGAGCATTGCGGTGATCTGAGTCTGTCTGTGTCTGCCTTCTCTGCCAGTGCCCGTCCCCACCCCCACCCCGCCGGTCCTCCTGCCCACCCATTGTCTGTGTGCCTGAAGAGGCCCACGGAGGGAACCTGACCCGAATTACGCGCTCGGTGCAGCTTTTGGGCAGATCTTTATAATCTGGGTCCCCAAAATACACTTTGGCATTAAGCCACACTCTTGAAATATTCAGGTAATTACATAAAAAGCATATATTTTTCTTTGTTTCAGTGATCAGGTGAACTTGCCTTGAAGATAGGGACAAAAGTTGCATTTGGAGGAGGGTGGGTTCAGGTATTTATTCTGTCTTATGGGTGCGTTGTTATTATAGACATCATCACACATTGCTCTTTTGCTATGAAGCATCTGCATTGTCTACAGGATAGTGACAAATACAAGTAAGAATTGGCACTAAAAATGCTGAAGCTGTGAAAAAAATTTATATATATATTTAAATCTCCATATGGGCAGGTGAGGTTAGAGGCATGGGGACATCATCTGGAAGATTCTGTCCCTGAGGACACCGCCCCCACTCCCCGCCAGCGTCCTCCTGTTGGGAGGCCAACCTGGGAATTCCTCAGGCCTGCCTCAGCACGGCCTCCCCTGCTTGCTGCCAGCTCTGCCCCGGGGTACCCACACACTGCTCACTTGCCTGAGAGCTCTGTGGAGCCAGGGAGGTGACAACAAGGTGACAGAGATGGTAGAGGGTCGGCCATCACAGATGGTCTCTTTGAGGGGCAAAGGCGAGAGTGAGGGCTGGGCCTGCAGACGCACATGCGCACAGACCACGGACTGAGGCAGATGTGGTGACACCTCCACGGGCACTTCCAGCAGTACCACCTCCGACGCTGCCAGGGACACATCCTGGCACACCCCCACCCCCACTCGCCCTCAGTGGGGTAAGCTGCCCAGGTCCCCACTCACCATACCCCACACTCCTCTCCTCTCTTGCCTGCGTCAGCCATGAGCAGATCTCTGCTCCACAACCAACCACCTCCCCTAGGGTCACCTGGCTTCCATCTCTGCCCCCAGGAGCTATGAGAGAAGAGAATGAGGTCCCTGAATCCCACTGCTTGTCCTCACTGTCACAGAGCTGGGCCCAGCGTCACCTTTCATTCCTAGGCCACCTCCACCTTGCCCCACCCCACTATCAGCGACTGCACAGGTCTCCCCGCAGCGGGAGTGGACCAAAGCCACAGGGAGCGGGGAGAGGGGTGTTGAGAACAGGAGCAGACACAGGTGACAGACGCAGGGCCACACCCACACCACCATCCAAAACAAACAAGAAAATAAATACCCCAAAGCCGAGGGTGGCCGCCTACGATGATACCAGAAACAAATAGGGCTGCTGCTTCTGGGGTGTTCAGCTCCTGTCAAGGAGGAGAAAACAACGGTTAAAGTCCTGTGAATGGCACCAGCCTTGGGTCCCTAACATCCCCCAGCCTCCCTGTCCTTCTCCCACTAACTCCCCTTCTCCTTGGCTTACGTTTTCAGGACCCAGGCCGTCTAGTTCCCACCAGAGCTCAAGGCTGCAAGGGGAGCTGGCCGAGGGAGAAAAGCCCGGCCGTGCGGACATGGGAGGAGGGCAGCAGGGCACCCCCGGCAGAGCCTCTCCAGCACCGTCTTGCCAGCACCTCCGGCCACAAGCTTAAGGCCCAGGGCTCCGAAGTGAGCCTGTGCGGGTGCTGGGCTTTGGGACTTACACCTACAGGAGGAATCCCCTGCCCAGTAGACGCCAGCTCCTCACAGGTCCTTGCTGCTCGCAGCCTATCCTATCTGAAAGCACGGTCAGGACAGAAGGAAGGGTCTGGTGTCGGGACAGCTTTTTGTCCGCTTCCTCTGATTACCTTGTAAACTGGAAAGCGCTGTGCACTTAAGATACTGTCAGTCTGTTGTCTCCAGCTTCCTCCCCCATCTCTGTCATTAACCGTCTACCTATCAACTATCCACGCGCATATCGCTAAGGAGCCATAAAGACACGTCCTGTAGCTATTGATTTTTCTCCCTCTCCCTCTCTCCTTTTTCACATACACAAAAGGTGTGACTACAAAGCAGTTATTTTTTTTTATTTTGATGTTGGGTATGGAACCCAGTCTCAATATTTGATAGTCTCACCGTCCCAGTATTTTGCTTTCAGGCTAAATTATGATTTGGAAATGACATGTATATCATAGGTGACCCAGCTCCTAAAATACTGAGGAGTGTGACTGTGTGTGAGTGTGAGTGAGTGAGTGTGTGTGTGAGTGTGTGTGTTGCGGTAAATTGGTGAATCTTTCTACCTCAAGCTCAATTCCACAACTAATTCTTCTCTCTTTTTTTTTTTTTAAAGTTAAGAAGATAACCTGCCTGAATTCAGTGAAAATCAGAGCAAAGCGGGCTGGGACCAGGGATACGCCTTAAATCCAAGCCTGATTTCTTAGGGGTGTTTCAAATGCCCCCTACCCACTTCTAACACCCCAAAATACGCACTTGACCCCCAGCCTCAGCTCTACCAGCCCATCCATTTCATAAAGTATCATTGAGGGAGCCACCCCACCCCCAACTTGCAGACGGGCTAAAAACAGGCAAAACAGGCGCAGGTACACGGGGGAGGGTGTGTCTCTGGAGGTTGTACCTCTCCTCACTGATCTCTGCCCAGGGGACATGGTGACAAGGACCAAGGCCCAGGAGGCATGGAACATGTGTGTGCGTGCTTGGTGGCTGGCAGCCTCAGCCTTGCCCACACATCTGGCTTCTGGGGTACCAGAAATCGGCTGCTGGCCTCCACGGCCCCACTGTGATCCCAGCCAGTCTCCCAGAAAGCACCATGTGGATGGGAGCTAGGGGCGGGAATAGCGCCTTCTTTCTATATCCTCTGGCTCTTCTTTAAAAACAAGAAATTAAAAACAGAAAACCCTCCATCTGATGGGTCTGGCGAGGGTGAGAGCAGGGTTCTCTCCCCTTCTAGAACCTAAGCATTAGCTCCCAACGACTCACTTGTCATTAAGGTATTCCCTGAGCCCCTTTCCACCTGCCAGCTCATGGGAACAGCAGGGAAGAAGGAAATGAAATCAATCTAAATCCTATAAAATGTTGGATTTCCCCCCCCCCCTAATTCTGGTCTTCACCTTCTAGGAAACGTGGCTCCTTTTCTCCCGTCGCCCGGTCCCTCAGCCTTGGTCCCCCCCACCCCACCCCACACCGAGGTCCCCAGGGCAGAGAGGAATGACAGCAAGTACAGGAGGCCAGGGTCCAGCACAGAACCATGTTCTCTTCCCTGGCTCCTCTACACCCTGCCTGCCGGCCAGTCCTTGGGTGCGAACATTAAGATGTTGGCGTGTCTGGTGGGGACAAGGGACGGGCGGATTAATAGGATCAGTAGCACCGTGACCCTGAAGCCCCCCTGAATCCCATTGACAAACTTAGTGAGCTGACTCCGGGTTGGCAGCGCGCGTGGGGAAGGGGGGGGGACCCAGAGGCGCCTGGGGCAGGGCCCACCGCCTCACCGCCCCGTAGGTGCTGCGGAGGCTGGAAGTGAGACCTCGGTCTGCCAATTCCCCCTCCACACACAAGCCTCCTCCCTTTTGGTCGCCCCCTAAACCTTTGATCAGCCTTTGCTTCCTGGATTATTGCCCCCCCACCCCCCTGCGCGCCTCCATTAGTCAGTGGGCGAAGTAGGCACGTTAGGGCACCCTGACTGATTCGGGCCATCTCTTCCCAGCCCAGCCCAGGTGGCCGCTTACCGGGCTTCTGCGAGGAGACGGCTCGGTGGCCCGGCCGCTGGACGGCCTTGCTGGGTTCCTGCCTCCTGAGGAGGGAGGATGCAGCTCCGGTGACGATGACGTAGCATCTGTCTCCATTCAGGAATTTCGCTCGCCTCTCTTTCTTTTGCTGCTCTCCCTGGAAAGGCAGCAAAAAGGGGGGTGCTGCGCCCGTCTGGAGACACCACCACCACCAAAATAACAAGCCCCTCTGCTGAGCCCCCTTCTTCCTCCTTCTCGTGCCTGTGTCACCTCCCCCGTGTCCCACTGCCTTTTCCAACCTGAGGCAGGAAGGGGGGCTAAAGGGAAGCTATTGTTCCTCCAGGCCACCCTCTGTCCAGAGGAAGCAAGAGAAAGGGGCGCAGAGCCGCCCCTGTCCCAGTCTCCTTCCAGTTCTAATTCACCTTGGAACTTGAGAGCAGGATTACATGCTGTGTGTGTCGGTGGGAGTGGAGCTGAGAGTGACGGAGGACACAATCAGGGGGCTCCCTCCCGTGCCTCCTTCCCACGCCTCCCGGCACAGCCCGGCCCTGTCAGCTCAGACAGTCAGTCGCACGTCCAGATCTTAGTCGTGAAGGGGAGAGTGACAATTGAAAGATGAAGACGAGAGCTGGAGGGGGGAGCAGGATAGGGCCGGTAAAGCCAGAGCTTGAGAGCACGCAGGAGAGAGGACAAGGGAGGGGACCACAAGTTCAAAGTGCGAGATAAATTATCTTGTTCTTAGAGGAGGGGAGCGATTTGGGGGTTGGTTTCCAGGGCTGGGGTCCCAATATTTGGTGGAAGCTGGGGCCCAGAATGGTACAATGGACGGGTCTCTTTTCTCGCTCTCACCCCTACTCTCAGCCCCTCCCGTCTTCTGTTTTCTCCCTCCCAGTCTTCCTGGCCTGCATGGGAACTCGGGCTGAGCTCGACGACGTGACAGACAGCAGGCCTGCATGCTAATGAAGTTTGTCTCAAGTTCATTGTCAAAGCCCCCCCTTCCCCAAGGCCCCCTCCCCTCCTCTCTCATACACAAATCTCCCTCCAACTTTTGTCCCACAGACCTGGAGGCCACTTGAGTCTCTGCTGGCTCCCCTCTCTCACCCTCCCCCACCGCTTTCAGTCTCCCCTCTCCCCACCACCTCCCTCAGCTGGGGTGGGGGCTCGCGGCTGCCTGGTGCCTTCCCCACCACCTTCTGGCCTGGCTGTCCCTACCCGCTCAAAGAGGGATTCCGAGGGCAGAGGTCAGAGTCTACAGACCTGGTCCTCCTCTCCGCACCCCAGAGTAGGAAGGCTTTGGGGGTGGTGGCCGGAGAAGGCAACTGACTGCCCCCACTCCAGGCCCCCTGCCCCCCAATCCTCAGCCCTGCACTGGCCCAGTCCCCCAATTCCAGCCTCAGCCTCCCCCTCCCCTCATCCCGCCCATCACGATTAGTGTGCTCTCCCCTTGATTACATCTGCTTCACTAGCTCAGAAATAAAGATCCTTTGAGACTAATTTTGCACCCCCAGCTCCCCACCCCTTCCCCCCTCCTTCCTTCTAGACCGGGGCTCCCTTTAGCGCCTTTCTCACCGGCTGGAAGACATTGAACTCCTTGTCTAGGGAAGCTGTGGGGTTGACGGGAGGGGGTGCCAGAGGCATGGAGGGGGGGGGTCTCTCCAACTCTGGGACGTGTCCAGCAATCCAAACCTGTCCTTCTTTTGTTCCTATAAATCTCTTCATACCGTCACCACCCTCTAGAGTCTGCCTTTCTCCCAGTAACCAGGGGATAGGGGAGGCAGGGGAGGAGGACCCCAACTCACTCCTCCCCCCAATTCCAGGCAAACGAGGGAGGGGGAGGAAAAGGGAGGAAAAAAATTAAATCCCCCCTCATTAGCCAGAAAGGAAGCGAAAGGGGATAATTATAATTAAAAGCAGACAGCTGTGGATTGCGTCTTTTATGCTCCTCCAAGCTTCCTCCCACTTCTGCCACTGTCACCCAAAAATCTGCACAATTCCACCTGGTCTCCTGAGAACCGGGAGCGTGACTAAGGCGGTGGCATTTGGAGAAGGGGAGGCCACTTCCTCTCTGTAGACACAGGGACAGCATGTTCTTAAACAGCAGACCTAGAGAGATGGAGGTGTCCTCTTCCCACCCCCGGCTTGCACACCAAAGCTGGGCCTGTAGGAGGTGGGGCATTCAGGTGATAACTAACGTGGTAATGTGGGGAAAATCTCTGTTTTCCTAAAAATAGTTAGAACTTATTCACAATGATATTAATACTAAGGATTAAAAGTAATCCAGCACATTTCCTCATTCCGGCATATCCTTCTCCTCCCTTGGGGTTGCCTGGGATCCTTCGCAGGAGGGCTCCCTGACAGCAGAGGAGGGGGGTCTGCAGGGAGTGTGTTCTAACCAGAGAGGCGCTGGATTTCCAGGACACAGAAGCCACACTATACTTACCGGCACTTTACAATTTGGGGGTGCTGTTGCTAGGCCCAGCTCTGCTAGCCTATGTATTTATAGAACTTCATCATAGGCCAGAACAGCGGGGTAATTATAGCATCATTAGCATATATGCAAATCAGGTAACCTATATGCGCTGAATGGAAGCAGATTATTACTTATTTCTCTCCCCCTCCCTCCCTGGTAACAGCTCTGGCTCCTCAGAGCTCCGCACCAGCAATTATCTGACATTAGAAGAGGGGCCTGTCGCCCCGGCGGAGAGGGCTGCGGGGAGGAGCACAGGAAGACCCTCCCCGAGGGTTTATTCTCATTTTACTCACCGTGATTCTGGAAAGAGAGGGGAGGGGCTCAGTGAGGAGCCTCTGAATTAACAAAGGGGGGGCGGCGTGGAGAGACGGAGACCTGAGAACAGAGACAGAGGAAGCCAGAAACGCTGCGAAGCGGAGCAGGCAGGGAGATGGGGACAGACAGACGCACAGCTCAGGGGAGCGGAGGAGTCAGACAAACTCACGCAGAGACAGACGCACAAAGAGTCCCAGTCGGGCCGCAGGACACAAGGGGCGGGGCTGGCCAGTGCCTTCCCTCCAGCTCCAGCTCCAGCACCAGCTCCAGCTCCACGGGGGCGCCTGGTCTCTGAGGACTCCTCACAGCACGGCCTCATCCTGCGCTGACTCAGCCTTCTTACACCAGAAGCATGGGGCGCAGGACCTGGGCAGTTTTCACTGCTTCTCCTTCATAGGGTTCCCAGGACTTGCCCCCCTGAGTTGGTTGGGTACCCTTTCCCCTGCCTGGCCGGGTGGCATTCTGCTTGCTCTTGGTGGCCACAGACCAGCGACTCACCTACACGATCCCCTCCACTCCATTCCAGGAGACCTGTTCCAACCCCAGGCGGCCCAAGGAAGTGTCTCCGTTTGCCTGGTCCCAGAGCGCATTTTATGTCCCTAGAGAAACTTGTAACTCGGCTGAGTTTCAAACGTCTTTCTCCAGGTTCCGCCTGCAATGTGCCTGTCCAGCTATCTCTGTCTCAGAAAGAGCCTTTGCCCACTTGAGATAGACTTCAAAGAAGGCAACACTGGGGGGGGGGCCCACACTGTGGCGGGGTCCAAGGGCCAAATACCTGCTCCTGTGTGGTGCTGTGAAGAAAGGCTGGGGTCCCTGAGCAAAACGGACACACAGACAGCAGCCAAAAGACAGAAAGGCTGCACTTAGATTTTCACGCAGAAGTGAAAATGTCCCGTCACATAAATACATAGACCAGCAAGACAGATGAGCTTTATCACCAGTGGCAGGTGTTTGGACTGACACCGGCTCCTGGGTCTGGCTGGGTTTCTTTGTGGCCACAGAATACAGAATAGGAAAAGAGCAGAGAGGCAGTGAGAGAGGCCGAGAGTGGCCGAGACCCACAGGAGTGAAAGAGAAAGGCGCTGATAGGCGTCAGAAGCCCAGTCAAGGACAGGGCAGACTCAGAGACTAATAGCCAGCCAGCCCAGGGGCCACGCTTGCCGTGCCACACCCCACGTCAGACACAGGGATGCGGCCCTCACTTCTGCTGGCTTCTCCCCCAGGCACAGCCTGGAACTGGCGAGTAGGCGCGCAACTTCATAAGGCACATCTCTGCATGCAGCTGGTCTTTGGACAGCGGAGCGGAGCAAGCCCGCCCGGGGCTGCCTGTCCTCACACAGCCTGGCACTGTCCGAGGGGGGCTCCCTGGCACTTCTCTTTTGGGCAACACACTCTCCTACCTCTGTGGCCCCCTGTACAATAACTGAGCTCCAAACCTATGGAGCTGTGCGTGTGCACACAAATACCTCTCATCTCATCTCATCTCCCACAAAATGAATCCCCCTGGCGTCCACGTGGATGCCTGTAACCACAGTGGCTGCCTCTTGCCCCATGTGGATGTCGGGAGCTGTGTGTGTGTAGGTGGCGCGTGCGTGCGTGCGTGCATGCGTGGCAGGAGCAGGTCTCTTTTCATCCAGCCAGGTCTGTGTGGACTGACAGCCTCCTGCGGTCAGGCTCCACCATCAGCCAGGTTTGTCACCACCTGCACTTGTCACCACTTGCGCTGCCACAGCCAAGGGCACCGTCCAGACCCAGGACTTCAGGGGCGCAATCCAGATAGTCTTTCACCCCAGAATTCCCCCCATAAAGTTGTCCAAATCTCCCCTTTTGGCGGCTTGATAATCTACCAGACACACATGGTTCTCTCACAAACCAGCCTTTCGCCCAGCACAGAGCTCCCGTGATGCCAGCCACATCTGTCCTGGAAAGGAGACTGGACCTGGCCACAGAGGCCTGGCTGGCGTGCCAGCTTGAGGACAACACCCATGAGCTGGGTGTTGCGTCTCCCTAGGCGTGTGTTGGTACCTATATTTGTGTACATGTGTTACTTTCATTCCTGGCACCACAGACACCTCCTCTGCTCGTTTTCACAACAGTAATGGTCTCTCGGTGGCACCTGGCCAGGACCAGCCAGCTCTGTCATGTGGCAGAAATGCACACTGGCACACGCATCGCATGCTTCCTTCATACCCTAACACGGTGCCATTTTCTTGGTGCAGCGCCGGCTTCTGTCTGCTTTGCAGAGGGTTCTCTAGTCTGAGGCTCATTTCTGGGGGCCTGGCTTTCGGGTCTGGGCTGGATTCCTCAGCTGGTCAAGTAGCCAGTATCCCCCGCCTCTGAAGCCCCTACAAGCCTGGTCCAGGCAGACACTGAACTCTGGGTGGCTGTATACATGGCTAGTGCTGTGCCTGCTGGCGAGACCAGGCCCGGTCCCTTCCCACTGCCCCGTGCTCTGCGGGTCACGCTGTGATGGGCTGACAGGCACCAGCGCTGAGATCCCCTGGGCTGCTGAGGTTGTGCAAGTAGGTTTTGTGTCTGTCGTGTTTCTGGTGTGCAGTCATGTGTGGGGGTTGGTGCGTGTGTGCTATGGTCACACAGATGTCCATACGTCCTCCCTCTGAGTGCTGCGTGTGACTGGGGGCTGCATGTCTGACATTTGCTCCTGTCGGTGTTCGTCTCTGCGAGCTGTGGGTGCGCGCCCTCGCCTTGGCTGTGAGGCTGGGTGTGTGTCCGCGTCCTTTGTGGATGATGGTCTGTGGCCCCTGAGGCTCCTATGGGTGAAGGCAGGTCCTGAAGGCAGGTCTGTCCCTCTGCCGGGCCCTGGGCCAGGCCCAAACCGCAGGCGGCCCGCCCGCCGGTCTGGGCGCTCCCGGGCCGCAATGGCTGGGCTCCCGCTTCCTACCAAGTTCCCAGGCAGCCGTGCCCGGTGTGCGGCCTTCTCGCTGCTCTGCAGCCGCCCAACCGCGGGCGCCCAGTAAGGGAAGTGAAGGCCAGGAGGAGCCAGGCGCCGATGGAGCAAAAAGGAACAGAGAATTGGAAACAGAAAAAAGGGAAAAACAAAATCCATTTAAAAAGAAATAAACATTAAAACAAAAGAGATCAAATAACACCAAAAATTTAAAAAGGAAACATGCCAAAGACATTAAAGATGTTACACTGCATATAGAGGAGGCAAGGAAACAAAATGTGAAAGAAATGCTCTAGGGTCCAGAGGGGAAGGGGCCTGGACAGGACGGCGAAGGGCGGGAGCTTCGGGGACCCCAGGGCGCCGCCCGCCCGGTCCGACCCGGCTGGGGCGAAAAGTCCCGCGGGAAGGTCCCCATGTCCCGCTCCCCACTCTGGCAGCTCAGACTCAGAGAGCCACCTCCACCCTGTCGCTCCGCCTTCGCTGACCCCGTCCCCGGGGAAACAAAACCAAGCAGATCCTGGACCCGCCACCTTGCAGGGTCAATTCTCCGCAGAGTTCGGGTCTTGTGGGCCGGGCCCTTGCAGATGCCCCGCCTCTGGGTCTGCGGCGCCCAGCGGAGCCTCGGGAAAGCCCTGGCCGGTGGAGAGTGTGGGGACTGGGGACATCGGCTGCCCCACCTGCTTGGGGCCCCAGCCCAAGGCGCTGGGCTGAGAGGGGAGCATGGAAAGCTGTGGAGAAGGAAGATGAGAGAGACAGCAGAAAAGAGGGGGCCAAAGACGGGCAGACAAGAGAAGAGAGAGGCTGCAGAGAAAAATATAGGGAAGAGAGACACCGAGAAGGGTGGTGGAAGGGCCCGGCCCCCTCGGGGAGTTTGGTCACAGGCCCGACACCCCTGCCCCTTCAAGTGGCTGCTGGGAGCCCTTCCCTTTCCCCCAAGCTGCCCAGAGCTGTCCCTAGACCCTAGGTAACCAGGGCGGGTGGGATGCTGAAACGTCACAGCTTTGCAACAGGCTCCAAAGAATCAGGAACCTGTACCTCGGGGTTCTGGGTCTGTGGCTCTCAGACGCAGAGACAGCGGACAGAGAGATGGCGGAGATGGGTAAGCTGTAACTGTCGGGGCGCAGAAGAGGTGCCTAAGAGAGGGACCCAGCAAGCCCAACTCCCCCAGATGTAGGGCACAGCCATTTCTGGGAGGCTGCATTCCCAGCCTCCGAGAGCGCGAGAGCGCGCCCACCTTAAATGAGCCCCAGCAAGGGCTAGGGGTCACCAACGTCCTTCCAGTGCAAAGACATCAGAGCAGGAAGGAATGAGACCTCAGATTTGGCGGCAGATCCATCTCATCCCGGAACACTTGGAATTTCACCAGAAAACACTGTATTATTTGGGGGCAGGATGTGAACCCGCCTGAGAGGAAGCCATCGGCTGTGGGGGTGGGAGGTGATGGGTGGGCTGGTTCTGGGAAGAAACCCAGGAGAACAGGGCGCCAGAGGGCCTCCCAGGAGGGGCCCTGCCCTGACACGATCTGGGCAGAGCAGTCTGCAGTGGCAGCCTCTCCATTTACCTGGCTGTGTGACTCTATACCAATTACCTAAACTCTCTGAACAGGTGAAACGGAGGAGGGGAAAGTAGGTCCCTGGGTTGTGAACTCAGAGAATGAATGTACCCAGTGTCTGCACCTCCGGCCCTTCATAGATACTCGAGAAATAGTAGCTTTGTGCCAACTCAGAACTGTCATGTCAGCTTTTTGATTTTCGTGTTTGGGGGTTAAAGCGGGGGCATGTCGGGAGGTGGGGAATGGCTGTAGCTTGCTGCCTCTCTACTCTGCCTTCCTGTTTTCTGGTCTCCAATCCCTGTGTCAGCCTCCAATTCTCTCAAATAAACAAGTTTATGACATAAAGTGTCACTCTTTTAGAAAATGATACTAAAATAGAATAAAACATCCCTCAGTTCACTGAAATCGCCTGAAATAAAACATGGAACCAGTCAAATTCCTCCTGGAGCCTCCCCCAGTCACTTGCTCCGTCTCTTACAGTTCAGATGGGAATTCCTGTTTGGAGCTGAGTGTTCTGTGCTGCCTTTCTGTCTGCCCGCCTCGCCCCGCTTTCCTTACTTATGTATTTATCTTCAGAGCACTGTGGTGACTCTATGCACGGGGGGGGGGGGGGGGATGCATGTCTTGCTTTTTAATCCCCCCAAGTTAATTCTATACACTTGATACAAGCCCAATCAGATACCTGTTCAAGAATGGTTGTAACAATCAAGTCTCGGAAACAACTTACATGCTGAAATGAATGAAGAAGATGTGAGTTGTTAGAAGGAAAGCTGAGACTCACATTTAGGAGCACGAATACAGCTCACAGTATCGCCGTGCTAGCTGTCCTTCCGGGCTCCGGCAGCGACTACCCCGGGCGCCCTTAGGCGAATCACGGACCCTCGCTAAGCCTGCTGGCCGATCTCTCAGCCGCCCTCCTCACGCAGTTGTTACAAGAATCCCAATAACATTCTGCATCTCAGGGTTTCTTTATGAACCTCCCGAGTGCTGTATGACTGCAAGGTGCCACACATACCTAAGTAACAGCTTCAGTGCCCTCCTACTGCAGGGTCTCACATGAATGGTCTCCCGTCTGCCCCCAACTCAGCCCAGCCTCTCCACACTGGGGGGACCCTGGGCCTGGGGGCGCCTGGGCTCTGGGGGATGCAGGTGAGTGAAGAGGGTGGAGGATTGGCAAAGTGCTTCGTTATCACCTTACCTCCCCCTTCACATTTCTCCCCCTCCCCACCCCCAGGGGGTGTGCCCATCCCCCACATCCTGGCTCTTCCGAGCAGGGAGAGGGGAGGGGGTCCTCCGGGTTCGGCGCTGCAGTAAGCAACGGACGGAGTTGCAGTGGACGGATATAATTTGGGTTCTAAGAATTTTCTGACCCTCCAAGGCAGGAGACCCAATATCGTTTGTTCTCAAAGAGAGTCCCCCAAACGCCCCGGGAATGGGGAGGGTCGGGCCAAGGGCTGGTAGTGAGGACGCCGCGGCACCGCCAAACGAGAGGGGGCCCTGCCAAGGCCCAGGGAGGGCTCTTATTTCTCTGCTCTCGAGAGGAGAGGCGCTTGCCTCGCACAGCTAACGAACTTCTTCCCAAATTCTCGGTGCGGGATTTGGCTGCTCCCAGAGGGGGTCCTTTCTAACAAGGTGCCCCCGGGCCCTGCCCCTCCCTCACCAGGAGCTGAAGCCGCCCCAAAGGTCCAGGAATATAATGGGTCATTTTCCAATTTACCAGGGTCTTAGAGATTACGCGCTAATCCCATCAAAGACCATCTGCTTACATTGTCCCTCCTGAGCCAAAATAAATAGATCCTTTACTCCCTCCACTTCAGCTC